AACCAATTTTTTGCATATTGTGAACTGATAGTGTTAATTAATAATGTAGCCTAACATAGATATTAAGTTTTACTAATTATCATTGGTCAAAATTTAAAATTCAAAGAAGAATAACATTTCGGATTCTTTTACAGTTCTTTCCTTCAAACACCACATAGCTACTTGGAGTAATTCGTACGTTGTTTTCTTTTTGTTTTGTTTTCCGAGAAATCACGAAAGTTAAGTTTCCATCCGGCTTTATATCGCGGGACAAGTTTAAACTTGTAAACAACAAATATTCTTATGTATATTTAACATCCTCAAGTTCAAGTTCACAGGAAGTAAAAGTGAAAGTGAAGAAGGTTGACCCAAATTTTGTTTTAAAATGAAACTTCTAATGTCTACATAATAAAATACATCATATACACATTCTGATGTATTCGATCGAAATCCACTTTCTACTATCTAATCCATTACCTGTCGTAATTTCGTAAATTAAAGAATGTTAACTATTTTAATTAGAGTTTATCATTGTCACCTACTGCTGTATATTGTATGCAATAATAATAACAAAGAAATTTAGAATACTCTTTTGTTATCAGTAATGAGTGTGTGACAAATTTGTGAAGCAAAACGATTAGTTGGTTTAACTAATTTGATTAGTTAATTGTTTTAAAATTACTTACAGTGAACAAGGTACTATTATTAACAGAGGAAGACATCTAATTATGAGAAAACCCTGAATTTTAGAAAATGGATTAATTTTGCTATACAATTCCTTATGCAATACCTATACAGAAATTTTTATAAAAGTATATATGACGAGTGGAAGAGCTACATCCCCTATCGAATCTTTTTATGAGAAACATACCCTAAAGATCATCGAAAATACAATTGTTTAATAAATAGAATAATTAGGATAAAAGTAAAGTTTCCAATTTTTTAGGTTAAACATACACTTTGAATATGGCAGTCCTTCTTTGTCGAGATGAAAAAAAAAATTTTCGATCCCTACAGTATTTTTTCTTAATAAAAAGTGCCCTATGTCCTTTTCTGTACCCTTGACAATGTGTGTACAAAATTTCGTAAGGATCCGTTGAGCAGTTAAGGCATGAAATTGTAATAAACAAACAAACTCATTCTTATTTAAAATATTACTTAGGATTAAATAGTGAAAGACAGTAAAACAATATGTATAATGTAATAATAATATAACGCGGAAAGGTTGACTTTTAAAATATGAATCCTTTTAACTAATATTAAGAAGAAAACCTTAAAGGAATGCAGAATACCTAATAAAATAATTAATTGAAAGTCATACTAAACTAACTTGTTTTAAAACTAACTTCAATGATGGTTTTCTTCATCATTTCAAACCCATCACTTCTTCATTTTGAACTGGTGGAAGTTTAATGAGACAGGATTTAAAAAATCTGTAAAATGCAATATTAATGTGAAAATTCATTTTCGATTTTCCATCCACTACAAACTTCCCCAAGTTAATGAGGAATTTTTTTTTTATTTTGGAAAATCGAAAATGAATTTTCACATTAATATTGCATATTAACCACTAGTAGTTATTAAAAATGTCATAGTGTTTAATACGTAATATCTTAAAACTTATGACTTCTGATATGAACAGTTTTAGATTCAGATTGGAGATAATCCATTATTCTTAATCAGTTTTTTGTACTTGGGTTAAAGGTGGGTCACATCGTTGTACGTTTTAGGTTCTAAAAGTAAAGAATATTTTATTTTCTACCCTGGTTGTAGACTATTTTTCACAATCCCTTCGCCTAGTGAGCAATTTGCCAATCGCGTTCATCGAGAGATAAAATCGTAGAAATTGTCCATTTGTACAAAACAATAGATATTTTTGCATCATTAAATAATAATCGCTATATCAGGTTAGATAAGTTGATATTCGGGGTAGGCAAGAGCTCTCATGTGCCTTGGACCCAGCACAGGAGTCCATCCGTATCTAATAAAGGATTGACTCGGGCAGGACAATCACTGATAGTCTGATAGTGAAGAAAGACTAATATTGAGCCTAACTTTGGTGTTCTTTATCACCAGAAAAAAATGCATAAATCGACAATAAAAATAACTAGTCTATCGCCAGCTATTTTATTTGTAATCCACTCTTTAAAATATCTAATACGTATCTGTTTCATGTGTTTGTTTTGGCTACTGGAAATGACAACAGAGAAAGCTGATTCCACGATGTAGAAACGTACAAAATATTATACAAATTACAATTAGTATTGAAGTCATTGGTTTTAGTATGTATGATGATACGTCAGAAATGTACTTTCCCTATCCAGAGGAAGTCAATGGCTTTCCCATTTTAGATGGATATGGCAAATGACGACAGGTTGATTATCTACCATCTATGCATGCCGCCTAACAAAATTTCAATAACTTTCTTATTAGCTAATTACATACGTATTGGGTAATTGAATCCAATAACATGGTCGATTAAAGTCCTTAGTAGTGAGTACATGATGTGTTATGACCTCATATGAATATCTAATATTAGTATCTGTATTATCTACTCTATAAAAATATTCAGGTTGCATTACAGGAATTTTTGAACCGTTATTTTTCGTAATACAATAAATATTTAAATATTACATATCAGTGATGAGTTGAGTTGTTACAGATTAAGTAAAAGTTTTAAAAGGAATGCTTCAAAGAATATATTTTTGGTTAAGCTGTTCTTTTTACAATTTCGCCTTCCATTTCCCATGTTAGTCGTTTCTAGACAAATAAGATTTTTTTGAATCTCATTAAATGGATTACTCTTGATGTATACAAGTTAGAAGAGTGATCGAAGTCTCAAATCGAAGGTCTCAGTATTATCTACACATGTACGAAGCGCTTGTTTTAATGTACTTTTCCTTTTTGTTTTATTTAAAAAAAAAACGTAAATCATGTTAAATAAACTCCAGCCTCATAGTAATGAATTCTAAAACCTGCGCTTCAGGCAAATGATAGTTTA